GGGGGGGCACCGAGGTGCAGTCCGGCGGGTGGGGACCGGGAGGGGCACCGGAGGGGCCGCCGCGGCACGGCGGGAGGGAGCTTGGGCTTTCCAGGCGCTTAGAGACCGTTTAGCAAACTCTGGCCTCCACTTCGGGAGTCCTCCGGAGAAAATGGGGTTTCCAGACGGATTTGCGTTGCTGGGGTCGGAAGGGAGTGAAGGGGGCGGAGTGCGGGACTCAAGCACTTGTGGAGGCTTCGCCCGGTTCTCTGGTTACTCATTAGCTGGGAAGCGGGAGGACGAACCCCGTCACCCCCGGCGCTCGGAAGACAAAGAGCTTGTACTCGCGGTTCTCCACAAAGACGGACTTTTATGCTGGAATGGGTTGATTTCAACAGGGAGCGTCGCCCGGGGAAGCGAGACCGCCCTTGCCGGTGTGGAACGAGGGGCCAGACCCAGGGGGGCAGACGCGGCTTTGTGTCCCTGCGTGCGGAATGCGCCAGCGCCGGGTTTGCCCCCGCTCTCCCCGGGAAGCTGGATTACAGACGGTTCGGTGCGATAATTACACTCCACTCCTGTTACCGACAGCGCTTTTACTTAAAAAGTGTAGCTGGTACTTCCAGGTGTCTAATTAAAAATTAAAACATATAATTAAAAAATTAAGTTAAATGTAGCTGAAACTCTGCATAATGAGTAGCTTAGGAATCTGCTCCTGACACTAGCGGACCTTTAGGCAGGGCCGTGGGTGCTCAGAGGAGGCTGGGCTTGGCAGGTCAGGAGAGATTTCCCAGGGGCCCTCCTGAGGTCGGCTTCCCTTTCCCTGAGCCCGCTTCAGATTCACATTTTTTCCGAGTGAGGAGGATCTGAACGCGTCACTCTTTGCTCTCAGGGAAAGCGCACTCGGTTCTGAGACGTTAAACAGCCGCACCAGGTTTCCATTCCTGGCAGAATCGCGTCTGCGTTGGCCGTGCTGGGCGTCTGACACCCAGGTAGCAATCCCAGTCCTGATTCTGAAGCGGCACCACGTTTTCATCTCACTGTGCTTTGGGGGACAAGTGGGCGGTCCATTTGGGCCTGGAGAGGACAGCCCTGAGCTTCCCAGTAGGCGGTTGGGCCTGGGTCCCTGCTGACCTGTGACAAGCGGGACAGGCCTCCCCGTTTTATCCCCGTCAGGCAGGCCTGGTCTGAAATGGCCTCTGCAGAACGTGGGCCTGTGTGTCTGTAGCATCCCTGGGTGGTCTCCCAGGAGTACTGTATTCCTTGTGGAGCAGCCCAAAAATGCCAGACTGAGGAAATAAAGCCGGCCCTGAATTTGTCCTGAGGCTCTCTGAGATGTGTGTTCACTGGTTGTATCGTCCAACCAAACACAGGAAACCCCTAAATCCCAGATCTCAGCATTTTTTAATTTTTTTTTAAAGATTTTCATTTATTTGACAGAGCACAAGTAGGCAGAGAGGCAGGCAGAGAGAGAGAGGAGGAAGAGGCAGGCTCCCTGCCGAGCAGAGAGCCCGACGTGAGGCTCGATCCCAGGACCCTGGGATCATGACCTGAGCCGAAGGCAGAGGCTTTAACCACTGAGCCACCCAGGCGCCCCAGATCTCAGCAGTTTTGATGAGAATAATTTAAGCCCAGTTCACACGCCACCACCTCCCTCCTTCCAAACAGAGCTGACGCACCCTCTCTCTGTGTTTGAACTGAGAACCTGCTCGTTACCCACTGTGCAACCAAGAGGCAGCCCTGAAGCAGTGGTTTCCTCTCCACACACTTGTGCCCTGAAGAGTGCGCCCCTGTTCAGGATGTGCCCTCCTGCCCCGTGGGCTCTGGGCTTCCTCCCCTCCTCTGTCCCTCCAGCCCTGTCAGGGCCCACCACTCGGCCGATGCGCTCCCTGATCAACCAGCAGAGAAGAGTGAGCCCGGGGAGAGGGTTGGTCCAACTGAAGAGCCCAGCACACTTCTGAGGGGGTAGGGAATGAAGAGGAGGAGGCTGGGGTGATGGAGGTGGGGGACAGACAGGTGGGCTGAGCGGGGGCAAGCCCTGTCCTACACATGTGGATCCTAGCGTATCTTGAGAACCCGTGGTCCTGGAAGCGGAAGGCGTCCTGCCATTGCCATCTACCCTGCAGCGGGGGAAGGGGCTCCGGACCCTGACCTGGTGCCTGGAGAACGGGCCTGGGATCTTGGAGATCGGATGTGCACCCACACCCACCCTCTGTAGCTGTCGCCCTTTGGGTTTGTAGTTCCGCCTCTCTGAGCTCCAGTCTGTTCCTCACCAGGGTTAGGGTCGGGGTAATGATGGCCCACCCACCTCAGAGCACCACCTGGGTTCACTTTAAAGATGAAGTGTAGTCGCTTCTTGAGAGGTAATTCCCATCATTCCCAAATTGAAGGCTTCTTCTGTCCCGAGAACTGGGGTGCTCTTCCAGATGTTTCTAGGCACCCCAGTTCAAGCCTGGGCCCAAGTCCTCAGCTCTCAGAGACTGTCTGACCTTACAGAATTTTCCCCAGTATGGAGAAAATCAGATTCTGCAAAAGATACTTTATGGCAGATTTCTCTTATGTGACATTTCTAAGACCTGAGACAGGGATTAAAATTTAATACCTACAGCAGTTTGGGACATGAATTAATTTTAAGTTGTTCAGGTCAGCAAGGTAGCAAGTATGTGCATGTCCCCCAAAGAAATATCACCTGTCTGCGGCTTGCAGACCCAGAGACCCCCAACCCTGGTAGGCATTGCCCTCAGAAAGCTCCCCCGGTCATCTGTCTGTACCTGCTCCACAGCCACACACACCCCACCCCCACCCCGAGCCCCTTTCCTGCTTGGCCTCACCTTCGGAGGGCTTCTGTGAGTCTGAGCTGACCTCGTCTTGTGCCTGGTCTTTGTGGACTATCTCCCCAGACAGTAATGGCTTTGCTTTTTCTCCCTGGTGCTCTGGTGCTTATCATACTGCATTGCACAAAGTAGGTGCTTGACAAGTACTTGTCACGTGCTGGTCACCCTCCTCCTCTTCCAAAGCCCACTTTTATTCCCCTGCCCAGCCCCAACCTTCTGTGGGCCTCACAGACGTAGTGCGTGCCCTGTGGGATGCCTGTGTACTGCTTCCCGCCTGACCCAAGCTAACATCACCGCCTGTGACTTTCAAGAATAAAAACGACATCCTCAGAAGGGAGCAGCTGGATTACAGCTGAGTCTGGGAAACCTTGTTTTTCTAAGGAAACCATCCAAGCAGGTCTGAAACGGCTGTAGAGGGAAGTTTGATAAGACCCTGTGTGAGGTGGTGAATGTGCTCTGTGTGTGTGCTTTGGGGTGGGGACGATGGTACACAGAGCAGAAGAGAAGAAACGCCTGAATTAATTGTCAATGAATGGAAAGGACAGGCAGAAGGAAGGCCCGCCCCTTTACTGTCAAGTGGAGGAATCATGGTTTGGTGGACAGCTCTGACCCAGGCCGTGCACTTTGCCTGCAGAGTGAAGGGCATAGAATGACTCTGGGATCCCTTCGGCTCTTTCCCTTGCCAGGATGAGACATAGGGCAGTGCGGTACCATGGCTGAGGGCTCAGTGGTTGGGAGGTGTGCTGCGCAGCCCGGGCTCCAACCCTGGTTTCCCCACTGAGTGAGTGGGCAGACGAGCCCCTCCACCATGCCATCTTTAGGGTGGGGATGATAATAGTATTATAATGTTCTTAAAACAGTGTCTAGTATGGGCACCTGTGTGGCTCAGTTGCTGAAGAGTCTGCCTTCGGCTCAGGTCATGATCTCAGGGTCCTGGGATCGAGCCCCACATCAGGCTCCCTGCTCAACAGGGAGTCTGCTTCTCCCTCTGCCTCTGCCCCCCCCCCCACACCCCCATCCCCACTCGTACGCTTGCTCTCTCTCAAGTAAATAAAGTCTTAAAAAAAAAAAAGTTCTGGTATATAGTAAGTGCTCAATAAATGTTAGCTATCATTCTGTGATTCAATGACAGGAAGAAAGATTTTCCTACAAGTAAGAGATAAAAAGGATTGAGTTTTAGTTTTTTTTTCTAATCATTTAAGGAAAAACATCCAATAAAGTTATCTTCAGGGTATTTTGGCACTCAAAGACATCACCGGGAAGAGGAATTACAATTATAATACGTACTGTTTTAACAGTACAATTGTGGAATTTCTTTTATTTCTTTTTAAAGATTTATTTATTTATTTGACAGACAGAGATCACAAGTAGGCAGAGAGGCAGGAACAGAGAGAGAGGGAAGCAGGCTCCCCGCGGAGCAGAGAGCCCAATGCAGGCCTCAATCCCAGAACCCTGAGATCATGACCTGAGCTGAAGGCAGAGGCCTAACCCACTGAGCCACCCAGGCACTCCCTGTGGATTTTCTTAAAGAAATGGTTTTTATGCCAAATCAATAGGCCATGAACTCAACTTGAGTTCAAGGATCCCATAGCTTTCCTTATGGATTATTCAGAGATGAAAGAAAATGTCATTGGGATTCAGCCAGCCTGCAGCACCACACTGGGTAACAGAGTGAGCATTTAGTTCTCAGACTGATACTTGTGTGTCTAAAGACTGTGACCTCCTGAGACCCCGACCCAGAGGATCTCAGTGACC